CAACATTTCGCAACCAAACTTTGCAGTTTTTCTAATTTTGATAACTTCTTTCCAAAAATATCCTTTGTTATTCCCAGATTAAAAATTTTTCTAAAGCGCAAGTCGTCCATTGATCATGTGCACAGATTTTTGCACTTTTGTTACAGATTTTTGCACGGTTGTTTGGGATTAACTGCACTGAAATCATTTCATGTTTCACATGCAAAAATTAACCATTTCACCAAAATTATAAATTTATTTTCTACTTTTAATATTCAGTGAATCAATGCATTTCTGAATTAAAATATATTGTATAAATTTGTTATAATACAATATGCATGCAACAAAAATACCGATACCGATATTTTGAATTTAGGGCCGATATACCGATAAGCTGATATGATATGGATATCGGTGCATCACTAAAAAAGTCTGCGGAGATTTTTTCCACGATTGTAGTTCAAACTGTCGAACTTCAGTTGAATATTGAATGGCAAGGTGCTATTAATTTAATGCTTAATGCTTTGTTTACATATAAGTAATATAACCCAATGAATTTCACGCATTCTGATCCATCAAGTGCGAGTAATGTAAATAATTGATTGTCTAACAATATTTGCCCTTGTTTTGCCTTGGTAGATGTCGAATGCCGAGGCTAAAGCTTGTTTTCTACTTTAATCGTATCGTAACGTATCATATAGTGTTTTCTTTTGTTTCGAAGTCCACATGTCCATTTCCAGAAAACAACGAAATACGTCTAGCTCCCTGCGATATGTTTGAAGTGGAAGACTTGATTACCAAGGCCGCAATCGTCCACAATTGCAAAATATTTGAGACAAACACCCTTCCCCCGATGTCGATGTTGTTTTGTACTATACTATTGTTATTCAAACATCATACGTTAATTTCAACTGCCAATGAAACAATTGCAGTTCTAGTGTCACGTCATGCTCCTTCTAGAAAGATATAGGAGCCACTGAAGTGTCAAATAAATATATTTTGTGTACGATTGTGGGTATCCGCGAATAATGTTATACTTTGTTCCAATTTTTGTCTATAAACTAAGGTCTTCGAAGCTTGCAAAGGAGAGAGATATCCGCGCCAGAACAAAAATCCAAGAATTAGTATCGAATTTCAAACGCGGAACTGACAGATTCGGTAAGCGATTCCGGCTTTTCTCAATTTATAATCCTGGAATTGTCAATTTAGAGTCCGGTTTTTTAAAATTTCGATTCCGGCTTTCCTCAATAATGAGTCCGGGTTTTCGAAAGTCTAGTTCGGATTTTCTAGTCCGGATTTTCTGAAAGACGAGGCCGGAATTTTTCGAGTCCAAGTGCGGCTTTTTCTCGAGTGCGCGTTTTAGGCGAGTCCGATTCCGGGTTTCGAAGTCTGAAACAAATGAAGTTTAATTCGTGTCTGGACTCGTTTATTGCGTTAACGCGCAGCATGTAGTTTGAGCGCTTTCATTTTTGTGCTTATTTCGCAACTTCGCAGAACTTTACGTAAGAATTTTAATACAGTATAATTAAGTGTATTCATACCATATATTAAATCAAAGGCATGAAATGTCATGCTAATTAAACTACAGGTGTTTTAATAAAATGACATAGTAATAATAGTACGTCACTTCCGTCACCTGTGTTGCGGTGCACATTGAACGAAAATAGACTAAAATTATAGCCTCAAAAATTTCAGCGAAACAACTGTTTCTTTAAATTTCCTTCAACAGGAAATCTTAAATATATCATTTGTATAGTAACACGCGAGTTATATCCATTCGAAACATCTCATAATTGCCGATTTCATCCCTATCTATATTTACATTATGATGATGTAATACGATGTTTGATTTCCTGGAAGTACAGAAGGAAGTACGGTACCGAAAGTTTAATTTTGAATATATGTTCAGCAACAGGTTGAACATTGCCCCTTGAGCAATGGCCGGCGAACAATCCAATCCGCGTAATGGTTATCTATTACCTGAGGCTTGCCAGGGTAAGTCCGTAAGTGAACTAATGACGAGCGTATTCTTCATGAGTGAGGAACGGTGGAATGAGTCTCGCGAACACGGTAACTTTGATTATGTTGTCATTGGGTCATCGTTTTGTTCTTGGGCCTTTACTCAACGCATGTTGGAGAAGAATCCAAAAGCGAAGATCCTTATCCTCGAGCGCGGCGAATATTATTATCTAGAGCACTTTGAAAACCTTCCACCTTCGTATAAAAGGAAGTTGACATATGAATCAAAAACACGTCACTGGAATAGAACAAAAAAAATGCGAACGGAGGAATACATTGAAGAGCAGGATGGGATAAATAACGTCTTTGGTGGCCAGTCAGCCTTTTGGCGTGGTTGGTGTCCCCAACCGACTAGAGAAGACCTGGTTGGTTGGCCAGAGGGTGTCAAGGACATTATCGATGAATATTTTCCCCAAGCAGTAGAGCTCCTGAATGTCGTGTCTGCAGATCAGATCTGTAATATGAATGAGCAAATATGCTGCAAAAGTGACGACCACCATTATTTATTTGGCGAACTTCAAACCGTTCTTATGGAAAAGATTAATAAATCGCGTCTACCTGAAGGAGTTAAAAGGGTTGATCATGCCTCGCTTGCTGTTAGGGCAGATAAGCACAGGTATTTAAATAATTTAGTTAGCTTTTGTATTTGTTTTATCATTTCGCTAACAGGCCCGGACATGCCAATTTCATTAGTTGACAGGCCCAGACAGGCAGACGTACCAATTTCGTTAGCCATTATACGTTCGATTCACATGTTGCGTACATGCATTCTGATTCTATAAGACAAAGAATAATAGTATATCTCGATAATAATCTAAATAGCTGGCCTAAAAATTTTTGGCAAGAAAAATGTTGTGCTTTGTCTTTGTTTACAAATCACACAGCTCTCCATGGCAATAAGGGCTCAATGCGTGAGAAAACTTTGTTGCTGTCAGTGTTTATTAATCTGTGCAGTTTGTTTAGGCGATATTTTAAAAAGTTCCGCATACTGTAACTTCACGAAGTTTTCGCCAAGTTCTTGTAGTTTCTACAAACAATCGGTGTAAAGTGCACGAGCGTATGTTATTAGACTAAGAGAAATTTAGATTTTCAAAATGTCAGCCTGACTACAGACTGAATCAATGGCCCAGCTAGCCATAGCAACAGGTGACGCTGTTGTCACTTTCTCGACAGGTGCTAATTAAACTATGGCTATTACTATAACAAGGAATGGAGAGTCGGAGAAAGGAATCTGGGAATGGGGAATACTAAAACCCGGAATACCGAAAGCCGGAATCTCTAAAGCCCGGAAAACTAAAACGAGGAATCTCTAAAGCCCGGAATACTAAAAGCCGGAATACAAAAACGGGGTATCTCTAAAACCCAGAATACTAAAACCCGGAATACTAAAACGGGGAATTTCTAAAACCCAGAATACTAATTAGCCGGAATCTCTAAAATCCGGAATAGGCCTACTAAAAGCCGGAATCTCTAAAATCCAGATGCTAAAACGGGGAATCTCTAAAGCCCGGTATACTAAAGCGGGGAATATCTAAACCCCGGATTACTAAAAGCCGGAATCTTTAAAACCCAGTATTCTAAAAGCCGGAATCTCTAAAATCCGGAATGCTAAAAGCCGGAATCTCTAAAACCCGGAATACTAGCAGCCGGAATCTCTAAAACCCGGAATCTCTATACTTACATCCGGAATCTCTATACTTACATCCGGAATACTTACAGCCGGAATCTTGAAAACCCAGAATACTAACTGACAGGGAATCTCTAAAACTCGGAATACTAAAAGCCAGGATACTAAAACAGGGAATACTAACGCCTGTATTCAAAAAGCTCACTCACACTCACACTTGAGTGTGACTCGAATGAGATGCACTCAAGTAGGGTTGAAGTGTGAGTGAGAGTGGAGTATGAGTGTGAGTGTCCACTCAACGAGGGAGCACTCACTTTAGAAAATATTAGCTAGATTTGTATTCAAAGAGCTCACTCGAGTGTGACTTGCTGGAGTTTGGGTTTGATGTTGATGTAGAAGGTATATAAACTATAGTGAGACTGTTGTAGACTTCTCAATGCATTGCACGGGGTTGCTGAACAATATGGCTGAAGCTAGACAATATTTTTCGCAATTGGAAAAGTTGCTGTTAACTGAATTAGTGCCAAAATACAAAGATCTTCTAGAAAATAAAATGAATAAATAAAAGCCATACAACGTATATTAATTGCATTATCATATTGAATATGTTATTCATAATTTACGTAAAATGTTGCATTATCAGGGCTTGTCGTACCGCATTGCCCAAACGTCGGTAAAACATCTACTTCTTCCTCATCGCGGCCAGAATATGTTCTGGTTCATATAGATATGAAGTTGAACAACACAGCTGTAACAACAATTATAGTTAGGGAGGTTTGCAATTTTGTGCGAAGGGTTATTGAAAGACATGGAAATAGCATTTTCCATACGGCAAACATCCTTCCCACGGTGTTTCGTGTACGTACGCATTTGTGTTACATCAGTTATATCTGCGTTGCGGTAGTTTGCGGTTGGGTTTGCGATCAATTGCTGGTGTCATTAGATGTTGACGGCATGGATAACCGTTATCACCAAGTAATATACTCTGGATATCACCACGTTCAAACTGTGCACTATATGCGACTATTGTCGAATATTCTGGCGTCATGTATGCTACCTGGCCAACGTGCAACAATGTTTAAAATATGTAAATTTGGCCCGCAAACAGCTTGAATTCGCCAGAAATCAAGTTTGAGTTGATCCAAAATATCGCCTTCAGGAAATGTTATGTAATTGTTCCTTAAGCGCGGTGCGATTGCCTCGGATACTCGCTTTATAATTCGATTTGCTGATGGCTGCGAAATCTCACACAAATCTCCGCATGCTACATGGAATGTACCCGTGGCGTACAACCTTAGCGTCAACAAAAGTTGTATATCTGACCTAATGGGCTTTCCTCAGTTTCCTCGCTCGTTGTGTGCAGATATTTCTGGTCTAATTATATCCAGTAACTCTCGAAATCCAGCCTTAGTTACCCGGTATCTGCATCAAAACTGCTCCTCGTCATATTTCCCATAATAAAAAATATATGGTCTCCTCCTGTCTCTGTTGTTTCTTGCGACATTGTCCAGTAATTCTAATCTTCTTAACCACCTTTCCGCCATATTTGAATCGCTAAGTACAAGGTGAGTCTAACTGAGTGCGGCTCAAGGGACGTCTACCTCTCACTCACACTTTACTCAAAATCGGAGCTTCACTTGAGTGTGAGTGGTGTCTTTCAATAGTCGGAGTGTGAGTGTCACATTATACTATGTGAGTGTGAGTGGACACTTATTGAGTGGTGAGTTGCACTCATTAAGAATGAGTGTCCACTCATTGAGTGTGAGTGTGAGTGAGCTTTTTGAATACAGGCGTAAGTCTTTGTATACATCTTACTATGCTTCTAAACTGCTCCCTTATAATATCCCTATCCCTAGAAGCAACATGTTCGAATAAGTGTCTCTCAAACCAATGGACTCTATTGTGACAAGACTTCTTTTTCAGATAGTCGTCCTTGTTGTAGTTGTAACTGACGTAGTATGAGAAGTTATTCATACCACTGGCACCACACTGTGTGCATGTATCTGCTCCATCTATCATTACAATAGACTTACTTCCACATTCGCTACATATTGGATCATATGTGTGTTTTCTCTTTATTCTACTCTCTGCGTGCTTTCTCACAGCAGCCTCTAACTCTTCCAATGTATTTACCCTCTTACCTACACATGCTATCTCCTCAGGTGTTGCCATCTGTAACCATTCCATTTCCCTATACTTATAGGTGTGAAATTTTTTATGGCATTTTCTATAGAATTAAATAAGCTAGCCCACCCACTGCTCCACCTGTAATTAAACCAAAGATTGCCATATATTCTTCCATCTCAGAGCTAGGTTTGTAGTGATTACTCAATTGCGACTTCCTTGGCATAGCCTTATGTGTTAACTCATTGATTCTTCTAACGAGTTCTAATGACTGGTTCGTTGACTTAATATCCCTACTTGCCTCAGCTAGTTCTGACTTTAGCTGAGCAATTCTATTTCTCCTATCAGTGACCTCTTCGAGGTACTTTTCTCTTTCAGCTGTTAGGTTCTCCATTGCCTTGTTATGTCTATGAGCTTCCTCAGCGTATCCATTCTTGTCAAACATCTTAAACAAGTATCCTGCTCCCGCAAATGCAAATGCATTGAAAAGTCCTCCTGCTACTGCTCCCGCCATTGTATAGTTTTACCTAGGTTTTGAATGGATCGTCTGGTAGATACTTCTTTTCTTTCAAGTAAGAGACCAGTAGAGATGAAAGACTAACTGAAATAGCTAACTTCGCCATTCCTTTTACATTCTCTGGGGTACCTAATGGTTCTTTCAACATTTTCTTTGATGCCATTGATATACCAACTGCTCCTGCTGTAAGTAACACTGCGTCGTACACTTCCCTAGTCATCTTTGATTCTTTACTCATCTTGCTATAATATATGGTATGTTTAATGTATCATTCAAGTGAATCTAACTTGGACTCATCAGCTTTCTTAGTTACTTCTACAGTTTTAGGGATGTACTCAAGTTCTGGTTTCCTAGTTTCCCTCTGATGTGTTTTATACGCTAGTACAAGAGATATCAATGCAATGGCCACTCCTATGTATGTAGGTAATCATGCTGTCATTGCTAGGTGACTCCTAGGTTCAGCCTGTTTCTTTTTTCTCTCCTTTGCTATTTTACTGATTGCAGCTAGTCGTTTCCCTGCCTCTACTCTTCTAGGGTCCTTCTTCGTTTCGCTTGTTACTGGTACTTGAATTTGCTCAGGTTTATCTGCCATTCTACTTGTAAGATACCTTAGGTTTATTTTGGTTTCATCTTATGAGATACCTTTAATTCTACTTGTGAGATACCTTGAATTTACTTGTAAGATAACTCAAATCTACTGGTGAGATAACTTAAATCTACTGGTGAGATAACTGGTGAGATAATTTGAATTTACTTGTAAAATGTCTCGAATCTACTTGGCAGTATGATGGGATTGCTTAAAAAATGCCCGACAAAATTTGCCGAGCATTTTCTAAGTTTCTTTCCTTCGCTTCCCATTTGCACTCTAGTACTTACCTAATGTGTAACCAATCCGCCTGATTATAACTTCCTTGCACTTACTAGACTCTAAAGTCTTACACTTTATCTTAAGATTCTTTATTTCCTTTAGGAGTTTCTTTGTTTTATCAACCCTAAAGTACTCCTCTATATCTAGCACTATCCTTGTGTAATCGTTAGATATTAATGTCTGGTATCCGTTTTTACCTAACCCCTTATCCATGCTACCTGGTTGTCTCTGACTTCACCTGTACCCTTTGGGGTCTTAAGTTCTATTGCGAATCCATTAAAACCATTACTTGGAGTTACTATTGTGAGATCGGGTTGTCCACTCGTATATCCCTTTTTCCAGGCGTCACATCTCTTTTGCGACGTATCCTGGTACTCTCCTAGTCCCGGTAGAATTAGAGCTTTTGGGTGGTACTTTTTAAGATATTCTACAACAGCATAATGAAGGTCCGTTTCGTTAATTAACCTCATATGATTACAGTAAAGTGGCTCAGATTTTGGTAATTCATATGAGCCTGTTTTACGGATAGATGGTAGTACCTCACTGAATATCCACCTTCTGAATTCCTTTGCGGTGTTCAGCTCTGATCCAAATATTAGCTGATACAAACCCTGCTCGGTAATCATAACTGTGCTCGGGTGTCCATCTGGTAAGGGTGTCCTCAAGTCACCCCTTTTCAAACTACCCAGTGTACACTTATCTTCCTCCCAGACGTGGGTTCTGACAGCTTTTTTGGTGTCTATGTACCCCAGGGATTCCGCCACATCTTTTGCATAGAACAGTACCTCCTCACCCCACCTCACAGTTCTCACACAAACATTCAACTCTGGATTCCTAAATAATTTCTCCATCTTCCCTATGCTATATATGTAAAAATTTTCTAGGCTATTTTATTTATCAATTTGGAGAAACATTCCCTCAGCCCACCCAGCTGCTCCACCACTATTTCATACTTCCTATTACAAAAAATTATTTTGCCTACTGCATTTCATTTAGATTCTTGTATATATTTACAACTGTTTTTATTGTGTCATTTTTAAAAGCTTCAAAGTCATACTTTAGTGAATCCAAAGTTGCCTGAATCTTATCCAGCTGTTCCCTGTTCTTATCAGTTTTCTCAATCAATTCATCAATTATGTCTTCAAATTCTGTTCCTCCCCACTCGATTGGTTCTCCGGAGTTTGACATTCTGTATGTAATATCAGATGTTTAGCTTCCTCGGACACTTCCTCAGGTTCCTCCTTCTTATTCCACTTATGGGTAACTACATGTTTAGCTGTTGTACAGCCACCAGATATGAGCCCTATAAATGGAATGTTGGGGGATATCGTTCTGGTTAGATATGCTACGTCATCCTTCAGAAGCTTGTCACTAAGTAGTTCCTCTGACAGTTTCTCTGAAGATTCCACTGCACCAAAACTTCCTAATATAGAAGCAAACTTTGAAATAATAAGTGTTGATAAGAAGTCACTTGCACATGACATCCTCTGACTTTCGTACTCATGGTACAGTCTATCTACAACATCCTTGTTAGACTTTCTTATAAAACTTGCGGACTTCTCTATTACACCATCCCTCGATAGCTCTATAAGTTTGTCCCTCTTGCTTTCAGTTTGCGACTTATCAACAGAGGACTTAGTTTTTCTTGCGGTAGACTTGGCTTTTTTCTGCGGAACTTTTGCGGCCTCCTCTACTTCTTTTACAGCCTCAAATATTTCTTCCTCAGATTCAGTTCCCATCATCTATATTTTACGCGGTGTTTAATTTAACAGTGTATGTGTAAGGGTGAATAAGTAGTACGTCCAGTGCGGTGAACTTTTCATCTTTTAATATTTTCGTAATTTCTGTGATGGTCTCCTGAGGAACGCCACTTAGGTAATCATCTGTTATGACCTTCGTATCCCTGCGACTAGGGTTGTAGAATGTAACTAGCCTGGAAATGTTCTCTCTAAAGGGCTTTGCTACTGAGGACAGTTGTTGGGTAAGTACAATGACAGATAGGTTGTAATGTCTTGCGGAGAATGCTAAGCGCACTAGTTCTGAGACTCTTTTCTTTACATCTTGACTTGCAGCACAATCGTCCACTATAATTAGAGTCTGAGTACCGCGAAATATGGTGGACACTGCCTTGAGAACAAGATCGATCATTTCTTGCGAGCATGGAATTTGTATAACTCCGTGGTCACTAATATGAGTCCAATTAATGTAAGTCATATTCCACTCTATGGTTGGACATATAATGATAATGTAATCGAAAACTCTATTGTACTCTGTTTCTAACATATTAAGTAGGAACTGAGTTTTGCCACTTCCAGTCATTCCTACTATGGGCATGTTGAATGGGGGCTTAAGTTGTTGCATCTCTATGCTTTGCCATTAGTATTGAATACTTGATAGATCTCTATTAGCAAAGTTAAGGAGAGCATCTGATACAACAAAAATGTTGCACTGAACGTCAGCTGTTGTGGCTCTCTTTTTGATTTCCAGGAGTACTCCAGATTGTGTGTTAACTATCTTCTTACCTCCACCAGTGGTATCATCTTGTCTTGACCTAAGATCGATTACTAGAGCGAAACCGTCGCTGAAGAACTTGCTGATAGACATAAATTCGTCTGCCATTGATTTCTCACACATAGGGCAAAAGAATCGTTTTGCCTCTTCGAAGAACCTGTTTTTGAGAAGTCCTTGGGAGAAGACTGCATTAGGCACGCCCTCAATGGTAAGGTTCACTTTATCAATGTTTGGGTAAATATATTCTTCAGAATCAGTTCTCACTCTATTGGTAAATAGAAGGACAATTGCTGACATGCTCTTTCTGGGGATATTAATGTTCTCATTGACAATGGTAAGATCTTTGTCCCAATTACTTGTACGCATAAGAGTAACGTGTTTGTAGGACAGTGAGCGACCCGTTGAATACATCCTTGATACTTCACTCGCAAGGTTGTCATTCTCAATGGTCTCGTATTCTAGCTCAAGATTATCAAGTTTATAATTACCCTTAGCTTCACCTCCTTGAGCAGTCATAATCTCATCTGATTGCGGGAGTGTGAGGATGTACATAGGATTGTTATTCATGGAGAACGGTGTGTAGAGTCCATTGTCTGCAAGTATTTTATCAATTGGTTTTCTCAGCTTAGAACCGTACACACTGTGGAGAAGTGCATCTGCTACTTTACCGGCATCACCTACCTTTACACCTGAGTCGTCGCCTGATATTAACTTCCTAAGATTCTCACTTGCGAGACCGTGTTCTGTCATCTTATTTCTGTCACCTAGTGTTAGCCATAGATCTTTGTATATTTCGTACAAACTCTCTCCTGAACAGTCATAAGCTGTTTCACCTGCTACTTTAATCTGAAGACGTTTAGCTATCAACTTAGATAGGTTGTTATTAAATCGACTCTTTGTATTGGAATTTTTGAAGTCAAATAATAGTGCAAGTGATCCTGGGACTAAACAAGAGTCAGGCTTTAGCTTGGGGATGTTAATGTACAGCTCTTCACCTGGGCTAATAGTTGTTGGATTAAAAGTTACAGCACTTCTAGTTCTGGGACCTTTTACGGATGTCATACGGCTCCTCCTGAAGCCAGGCTGGAGTTCTCTTTCTGTGGTATTCATACTTGTATACAATATGTAATGTTTAGCTGTACTTGTATAGTAAACTACTGCTGCACATACAATGATTATCCATATATTATCCGCTGCTAACTCTACTCCATCGGCTATCTTCTGAAATACAGGTGGTAGTTCTATTTGGTGGTTTACCAACTCACTGATCCGCTTATCGAGCTTTTCTGTTGTGTCACCTACTTTCCACAATATGTTTCTAGTTTATGCTACCAGTCCTATGATTATAGCTGATGAGGAAATTAGAACCGCTGATAAGATGCCTGCATTCTCCCTTGCCCATAACCTGAGCCTCTGCAGTCTCCTACGATCATCCCGTTTAATGAGATCCCTCTTTTTCACCTTATCTCTTAAGTTGAGAAGTTTATTTAAGTTTGACTCTCTTTGGTAATCATTTGATAGCATTCTGACGTATCTCAGTTCTTCCGACTTTTCTTTGAAACTGTCTTCGTCCAAATTGGATAGTATTATTTCATTTAACAGTCTGTCTCCCCTATCCATTAGATCATCGTATGACAGATTAGATAGGTCAGGGAATTTCTCAGCTAATTGCTCTCTCGTAAGGTCCTCGCTCAACATTTTTCTCCTCCTCAGTTCCTGTACGTAATTAATTTCCTCGTTAATATCCTGGGTCTCCTCAGTAGTTTCGCTTTCCCTAAGATCCTTGTCAAGGTGCGGTAATTCGCTATCTAAAGTTTCTATATCCATTTCTTCATAGTCTGGATACTTTTCCTTCAACTCCTCCATTTTCTGGTCATCGTATTCCTCTTGGTGTTCCTCCATAGCTAATTTACTTTGTGTAATAGTTGTATACCATTAAGGCTGCAGCTATGGCTAATACCCATAAGTGTGACGCTAACCATGCAACTCCTTTGGCACCCCATGATAGCGCCGTTGCAACTGCGTTCAGAATTGGAACTAGGATTGGCCCTGCTTTCTTTGCTAAATTTGCTAATGCTTTTGCTACTTTACCAGTGGCCTTTGCTGTCTTCACAATGGCTCCCCTAGCATGGATTAATAAGGCTGTAATTAAACTAGATGTTGACACTGCTATCCCCACAAGTCCCACCTTTTCCTTTCCTACCCAGTCTATAAATCTACGTAATCTAGAAATATCTTTCAACTGTGCCTCTCTTGCTTCCTCTACTGTTCTCTGCTCTAGTGTCCTATCCCTAGCTTCCTTAAAACTGTCAATTCTTTCTATAAGAGCATTGTACTCAGTTGTACCCTCAGCTTCAGTGGCTTGCCCTGCGGTTTTACCAATAGCTTCATTAAAGTAGTCAGCCTGAATTTGCAGCGCTCCATTGGGACCTGTTCTGCCTTCTATGCTTGATCCATCAGGTGGGTTAAGAACACTTCTCAGTTCGTTGTTTTCTTCCATTGTTAGCCCTGGAAGATCTCCTAGTTTTGCACCTATGTCTATTAACTCAATGTTCTCTCGGTCAATGAATTCCTCATCACTGGTATCAAATTGTGGCTCTTCTCTGGTATCCTCGTAAATTGATTCTTCACTTGTAATTCTAGCGTTAGGATCCATAGGGGTCTGCTTGATTTTCTTTATAAGGTCCTTGTATTCTCTCAATGCAATGGAGTTCTTGGAGTACACTGGAGTCTTCTTCTTACCACATTTCATTATTTGTGTTCCATTTTTGTCAATACCTTGTTCACTTCTAAATACCAACACCTCTGTGCCATCATTGAGTGTTCTTACAGATGATCGTTTTATGAGTTCCCTGACATATCTATTCTTAGGGTCTAGTATCAGTCCCTCCTTACCCTTAATAACTCTTACGACGGCATGAACACGTTCTACTTGATTTTCGAAATCTCTCTTTTTATTTGCTGTGAGTCGGTCTTCTGAGAACTTTTTCAGTTTACTCAGACGGATCTCTATATCATCCCATTTAGTGTCAAATGATTCATCAAATGCATCTAGCACGTCTGGAAGTACATTGTTTGGATCTTCCACGAAGTCGACTCCTTGAACGGTTGTGCTTCCTGATGGACCGGAGATGTTCACTGTACCATCATTTCCTTCGGTGAAAGTTGTTTCTTCTATTGCACGTCTCTCCATAAGATTCTTCACATAGTCTAGTTCACTTTTAAGATCAGTTATTACTATAGGGTCATCACCATACATAGCCTCTCCCCTCACCTTTGTATCTAACCTACTAAAAGCTGTTGTTAGGTCATCATAATTGAGGTCGTCATATTGAGGATATGTCTTTTCTGTCTCCTCCAACTCAATGTCATCGTAGTCCTCCATAATACTTTAACTTATGTTAGGGACTTGATATCTCCAGCTGGTATCCAACTGTTAAATTTGTCATCATAACCTAACCACTTAATGAGGGCCATCTTTTTACCCTTCAATGTTCTTCTCCTCAATACTTTCTCTATTCTGAAATCAGGTTCTCTTCCTTCAGCGCTATACAGTTCTTGTTCATAGAATCTGCCAATTATTGGTTCATCAGCACTGTCTTTTATTGTATACGTGTTTGGATGACCGTGATACATGTCCGTCACAGTAAACAACTCCTCTGTGAAATTTGCTTCGTACCCTTTTGTGAACACTGATTTGTACTTTGAAATTCTAACACTTTCTCCAATAGAAAACTTTGGTTCTGACGGCTTGCCTAAATTGTGACTAAAAAGTGTATTCCATACTTCAGTCCAATTGGAGTCATTTACACTGTCCGGTGTTGTTTAAATTGATCTGTTCACTGAACTGTTGTAATTATCAGTTAAGTCTTGAAGGACGTCTAACCATTTATATGTACTGGCACTGTAAAAGTTCTTCCACATTAGCGCTTTCAGTGTTCTGTTAAATCTTTCCACAACTGCGGCCTTTTTATCTGAGTAAGTAGAGAAAAACTCAATGTTATGTTTATTGAGCAATGATTTTACTTCTTTGTTGTAAAACTCTGTACCCTGATCAAACTGGGCGAATTTTGGGTATTTACCAAAACGATTATTAAATTGCTCTAAAATGTTATTGACGGCGTCCTTCATTGATGTCGCGTTTTTCCTATTCATCCAGCGGTATCCCTTGTTCTTGTCGTCATATTTTGTCATGTCAACTAAATCCATTTGTAACTGTTCACCTAAAGTTTGGATGTACGTCTGTCTGAACTTATGTTTCCTAAACACTTGTCTGTACCTTGTGTATGTGTCTTGCTCGTTTATCCATTTCTTGACCTGACTTCTGATTACTTCAAGTCCTTCCGATATTGCTCTAAGATATAGTTTCTCTGGTGTTTGAAATCCAGTCTTAGGATTGTAGTAAATATCTCGTAGTCCTTGTTCTTTCATAATATCGTCGTCCATCTTATATTAACTAATGTAAGCTCGCTACTCAAGGTACATCTCGATAAGCACTTCACCTATATCAATAGGTTTCCCGTCTTGATCTGTCATGTGGAATACAAGTTCTGAGAACGAACCCTTAATAACTGAAATCCTGCTTTCAACATCGATGTAACTAACTACCGAGCCTAATAATGGTCTGTCTGTTGGAACTGCGACACTTGTTATCACATCGCTGGGTCTTCCCTAAGGGTTAACGTTAAAACTGTTACTTACCAGATTGCAGTGTATATTTACGCCTCGTAGTCCGTTATTAAAGTCAACTTTGCTATCACTTATCAAACTCCTCCCTTTTAGTAGGATCATAGGATTAAAAAATCTATTAAAACCTAACATAGTCAGTAACCGTGTTTCTATTGTGATATCTTGTTTTACTGCCTCTATTTCGCATCCTGCTGTTTCAGAAAAGTAGGTTAGCTTAACACCATGTCTTTCAAGTAACTTCTTCATACTGTCAAATGTGTAGTAACCTTTACTAACAATTACATCAGATTCTCCATCATCTGTTTTCACTTTGAGAATAGTTGTTGGTTCCCTTATGTTAAAGTACTCCCAGAAAACTGATACTCTCTTCATAAAGACTGATTTATAGTTGCTTGTTAGAACTGAGTTCTGTAGTGATACAACCGTGTGCGAGCTCTGGAGTAAAATTGTGAACTTCATCTTAATAACATACGTTAGGTTATTAAGAATGAGACTAGGTGGAGGACAAGTTGGTAAGTCACCGTATCGGTCGTACCAAGACTATGAAAAAAAGTATGAAGATCATGTTGATCCTGTTTTTACTAAAAAGGCAGAGGACGCTGAAAGAGCTAGATTTATGTGAAGTTATCCTTTTGCAGATATGAGAAGATTTAAATTTGAAGCTATGACTACAAGTAGTGGTGATATTGGTGTTGTTACATGGTTTGTGGATTTAGATGGAATTACGTCTTATGACATAAGATACGATGGATTTAAGGTGGATAGCGAATACACATCATACCTCACATCAATGAAGCCCAAGGTGGTGGCACCTCCCCTGAAACCAAAAGGATGGCCACATCTTTGGAATAGTAATGGCACCGTTCAAAAATATAAACCTCTTGTCTTTCCAAAGGATCCTACTTACGATGAAAAAAAGTTGGGTCTCAGTCGAGTTCTAATTCATGATGATGGCTATCATATTAATACATATCGACCTCCTGTAAATCTTCCCTACAATTTTAACAACTTTAAGATCTATGTAAATGAAAACAGTTATTTCATGTCTAACTTCCCTGATGCTGGTGTAGGTTGGTATGAAGGTCCTAATTTAACTAATAAGGATGTAAGAAAAGTTTCCTTTAATACGATACCATACACTAGAATGTTGTCTGGCGCCTACATAGCTAGCTATCTCAGCGGTGTATCCTTAGAACACGTTCGTGAAAGTAATTCTGTTCCTAAAATAATAACATCCATTATGAGGTATCATCTTTACTACACAACTAGAAAGCTAACAGTTAGTAAGGATGCTATTGATAAACTTGGTGTTAACCTTGATATTGTAAGGAAACACATTCCAATAAATCAGAATTATATTATTGACGAAAGTGGTGCTACAACTAGTGCAGGACCTTTGTCTGGTAGTGATTACCTTTCATTCATAGCTGAAAAAAGCAATGGCTTTACTAAGTTAGGTGTTGAGCTTATCCAGGAGAGTATTGAGTCCTACAGTATGTGTATGCTATGTTGGGATCTCAAGCTAATACAAGGTGGTCAATAGAAGGAAACGGTCCTAAGGCTCTTCAAACACAACGTGACTTTAGAACTATTGTGAAGTCTACTATTTTACAAAGTAATACGGTAACAACAATTAGCAATATGAGGAAAGCTGTGAGGGACACCAATGTGATTCTAAACACTGCTTTATCCCCTGGAATAGTTTTAATCCCATCGAACTTTATTATTCTAAAAACTCCGATACTCGGTTATAATAACCTTCTAAAGACGGCAACTAATACAATGAAATTTGGGGTGAATCCTAAGGTAAATTATGTCGGTGTTAAGCAAGTTGATCCTCC